ATAATATAATATAATATAATATAATATAATATAATATAATATAATATAATATAATATAATAAATTTCATGCTGAATATTTTGCTAATTGTTATTGTTTTGGCAACTCATCTGTCACACAAAGCTCCCTGAATCTGAGCAAGATTAATACGTATCCACTAGAGGGAGCACTACATTGTTCCTCATGTTGTGTTTCTTTTATGTTAAATTCATAAAGTAAAACTGCTGAACTGATAGAGGGAGTTTGCTAAAAAATTGGAAAGTTTTGCCAATTTAGAGATGAGTGGTTTACATTAGGAAGTGTGAAATGTGATTTATACATTTTCTACTGAATAGATTTTGTAACAAAAAGACAAATTTCAAAATTCAGAAAGATCAACGATATATTTGGTTTATAATAATAGTAATTTCTTACACTTATATAGCGCTTTTCTGGACACTCCACACACTAGCTATTAGTGGGGAGGAGAACAGAGTGATGAATTCAATTCATAGATTATTGGATTATTAGGAGGCCATGATTAGTAAAGGCCAATGGGACTCCACCCCACTCTTTTCAAGAAATGCCCTGGGATTTTTAAGTACCACAGAGAGTTACGACCTCATAAAGCTTCAAGTTTTACATCTCATCCAAAGGATGGCACCTTTTTATAGTATAGTGTTCCCACCACTATACTGGGGCATTAGGACCAACATGGACTGCAGAGCGAGCACCCCCTGCTGGCCCCACTAACACCTATTCCAGCAGCAACCTTAGTTTTTCCTGGGAGGTCTCTCATCCAGGTACTGACCAGGCTCTCTTCTGCTTAGCTTCAGTGAGCTGCTAGTTGTGAGTTGCAGGATGATATGGCTGCTGATATTTGTCTTATACCCTCGTAAAAATAATTTCAGGGTCTAATATATTACAAATTGTCAAATTACAGGAGATGATGTTTTCATTGATGGGCAACATGGTGGAGCAGTGATTAACATTGCTTTCTCTCAGTGCTTGGGCCATGGATTTAATTTCTTAGGTGCTATCTGCATGGAGTTTGTATATCCTCCATGTGTTTGCTTGGGTTTTTGTTGAGTGCTCTGGTCTCTTCTCACAGTCCAAAAACATACAGGTAGATTAATTGGCTTCTGGAAAAACTGGCTCTGGTGCGAGTATGTGCATGTTTTTCTGTGTGTGCCCTGCATTGGACTGGTGTCCCATTAAGGGTGCACCCTGCCTGACAAGCCAAGATAGTCAACCGGCTCCCCTGCAACCTTAAATTGAATAAATCGGTTAGAAAAATGATGGATGGATGTTTTTGTAGACAGTCACTACACTGATTCATGGGACAAGTCTATCAGTGTATCCAGTAATAATACAATTTGGAACATGAATTTTGGACACTCTCTGAGTATTTTCTTGGCTTATTCTTCATGGTGCCTATAGCTGTCCTGAAATACCAAACTATACTTATAACAAGAAGAATAAATGTTATTTGTTAAGCATCTGTCACACTGTCACATTTGTTAAGCACCAAGGACACTGTACATAATGATAAAATAAAGAAAGGAAAGCAAAAGTATTATGGATAGATTGTAGGGCAATCATACATAGTTCCTGGAATGCGATGCTCATGGAGGAAATAAAATATAGAAAGTGCTCCTGCACATCCTGATCTTACTTTAAAGGAGCTCACCAACTCAAGAATGTGTGGAGGCTATCTGACTAAGAAACCGCATTTACTGCACACGGACCATTTCTGCAAAGTCGAATCTTTATTTTGTTTTATAATGAAGATAACAGTCTGAAGCAGAATATAATGTCAGTTGGAAGAAAAAAGAAACAGAACCTTTACATTATGTTTACCACAGTAATGTATGTATACACAAACACAAATATTACGTAATATTCTAGAAAGATTTAATAGAAAGACTTACAGATTGGATAATATATCTCGCTTTAATAACAGAAAAGGTTATAGTGTAATCTTCAGAATATAGGGCATTGAGTCATTTGTCAGAATTAAATAAATTCCAGAAAACAAAAGGATATATTTACCCACACCTGTGTAGTTAGTATTTTGTGAACCCTCCTCTGACAAATATACTACTAAATATACTTTTTGGTACTGAAACAATGCCACCTGTAGTGTGATATGAGGTTCTGAAACTTCTGAAGGTGGATTTCTTTTGTCCATTTCTTTAGACAAAATTAAACTAGATCTACTAGTTTATTTGGGTTCCATTTGTGAACTGTTGTTGTGTTCAAACTACTTTTTTTTCAAATCAGTTTGAATTGAGATTTTGGAGACTAAGAAGGCTAGCTTAAAACATTTCTGTTGTGTACAGTTAACAACTTCTTTGTTAATTTGGGTTCATGTTTTGGATCATTGTCACACTGGAATGCTATGTTGGAGCCAGGTGTGGAGCCAAATTTTCCTGGTACATGATGGAATTTATGATTGAAGGCTCAAAGTATCAAAGATACAAAATAAATCCAAAACATAGTAGGTCCCTTTAGATTTCACAGAGGGTTTCTCAGCATGAGCTTCCTCAAACATGATGCAAAATGTAATACTGATGACATGTCCAAAAAGTAAAATTATCATATCCTCTGTGCATAAAGACAAGGTTCCAGTTGTTATCCATGGTTTGGCAAATTCAAGTTGCCTCTTTTCATGGTTTATAGGAGGAACTATTCTTCCTCCTCCTGACAGGGCTGCAACTATACTAGTAGCCTTAAATTTCATAATAATGAATACTGCAGTGGAATGTGATAGATTCTGATGTGGCACGTTCTTTAGTTTCATACATTTCTGAAATGTTGCTACAAACAAAACTTTGCTTCATCTGGTACCCACTTTAAGCATAACAGTCTTGGTATATATTGAGGGCCACGGTGAGGAAGCGAGGAGAGAAGCATATTGTTAATGAAAACATGTTTTCTTTTCTCTTTTTATTGCTTAATCCATTACCTTTCATTTCTGAGTTCTCAGGAAACTAAACCAACTCCTTTGGATTAAAGAATTACAGTACATGCCTATAGTTCATGGAGCTAATAGTGCTAGTAAAGTTCATTATTACTGTAGGATTTTATGCGACTCTTATCAGAACTTTTAAACTGTCTAATCTTTCTTCCACCTCTTATGTTTCAATGACCGTTTAAAAATAAAAGGCATCATGTAAATAAGACTATTTTCTGAGTGAAACATTTAGAATTTGTCCCCTTTGTTTCAAACTGCAAACTTTCCCCTCTGTGTTAATTACAGCTCAGTCTGTTAAACTGTTGAACTGAAATTAAATTGATCTAACTGAATACAGCTATATGTAAGTGTTCTCATAGGACTCAGGATCTGATGCTGTTTGGGCAGGGATCCAACAAAACAATTAACCATCTCTTCTGTCCATGGGAATTTTTGCTTTCTATCTCATTAATGACCATCCTCCTACAGCACAACATTTTACAGATCCCAAGCAGTCACGCAGCTGTCCCTGGGTAAGGCATCCAAGTTTATTTTCTCACTGGTGGTCTGGCCAGGATGATGTAGCTGCTTGCCACATCGTAGGGTGATGTATAGGGTGTGGAACTTACAACAGGAAGTTCTGAGCTGAATGTACTGTATCTCACAACATTCCTAGGTTCTCACTCTTCACTGTGGAAACTTTTCACAGAAATTCAAAGCCTATGTGACATTTCCAAAACCCTCTGATGTAATCATATTGCTCATCTGGCGTTACGATGAGAAATTATGCCACTCATAAATGTGTTACTGCTCCTTTACTCATTCGGTGGACACCCAGATCCAGTGTTTCACCACAGTCTGATTCACCACAGTAAAATATCTTCACAATTGTACTGTTCAATAATTAACTCATTAATCCAATTCATTTTCACACCAAATCATCTTAATATTCAGACACTCAAATAATGAACTATTAGTGAACTATTATACCTCATGAACTAATCTATTGTTCTTCCTGACAATGTTTTTTGGGCATATCTTGAACTTGGCAGCCATGACAGCCACATGTTTTGATATAGCCTTTATGACTGTACTTTCGAAAAGAACAGCCATTGGGTGGTGTCCACAATACTGAAGGAAAAGTATTATTTACAGTATATGGTGCTTCAGGGAACTGAATTAGAAGAATACTTTTTACAAAAGTAAACTTTTATAGATTGTTTTAACTTTCTCTGATCTGTCTTGTCTGAAGATATTTGAATATTATCTGCAGGAATGGAATGCTTAAAATTACTTTTTTTACTCCCTTCATGAAGATGCACTTCTTGGAAAACCTACCAAGGTACTCAAAGTAAACTGATATTACACAGAAAATCTTAAATCCTGTTGAATTAATGAGAAAACCCACATAACTATGATGCTAAAACATTTCTGTACCATTTTGAGTTTTAAAAGGCACTGGTTTAGTCAGGAGTACTAGGCCGCAGGATTTGTAAAACATTTATGATTTCTTTATTAAGGTTGGTAATATATATATTTCCCAAGACAATACTCTGCAAATGACCTTTTTCCATCTGCTAAATAGTATAAAAAGCCAGCCATTTGGTATCCAGATAAGGATAATGGCACTTCTGTGTCTTCAAGAGGCTTGGCAGAAATACCAGATTAATTGAAGTTACTGAAACAGTTTTACAAACCCGAACTTGTTGGTAATAAGAAAAATTACAAAACACATTTTAAGGCTTTCACACTTACTTATTGCTTTGTTTTGCTGTTTTGTTTCTTATTTCTACATGTTTCAGTTCCACAACACCTTGCTGTATTAATAGTTTAATTCTTTAGCACAGCCTATGTAATCTCATGATTATTTTAAAACTAAAGTAATGCAACCTTTAAGCAACTTCTCTAAGCATTTCCTCAGAGAAAAATGCAAGATGTGTAATATCAAAAACATATGACATTTTATTGATGTAATGCGTTTTTACATTTTAGAATACCAAAGATCAATGTTTTTTATAAATGCTTTTAAAAAATGTCCTATTTAATTTAGGTACTTTACATATGTTAACCTTTAATTAAGATATATTTATTTCAAATTCTAACTTTTCTGATTCTAGATGTATTCCCATGGCTAAGATGCACATATGAGTTTCTGAAAAATGTTCAATAGTACTTTGTTGACAGATGTTTTTGCAAAAAGAACCAGTTAACAGTCAATAAATTATTAAATGTATTGTGAATGATTTTTCAGTGCAGCCCTTGTGTTCAAAATTGTTTAGAATATTATTCAGGAATTCGTACTTCAGAATGTTTGTTTTTTTAACTGTCGACGGCAGAAAATGCGTATCCAATTATTTTCTAACAGTAGCAGCTAATTGGGGTTGAAAAGATGGAAAACAGAATATGTGAGCAAATTTAATATAATACTAACACGTATGGAGGAGTATCCCCTACATATTTATATTTGAATAAATATGCCTTCTTTTTAGATTCCTACTTTAGAAGTTCAATTTACTTTGCGTAGGCTATTTAATAGGCTGCACGATAATTTGCCGACAAAGGTTTACTGAATATCTATGTTTGTTTGTCGCTATAAATCCACGTTCTAGGGAGTAACCTTCTGCATAAATAACTGTCTGCATTATATAAACAGTGCGGTCATAACCCTAAGATTTAAACAAATGTGTCAGATCTGGTGCGTACTAGCTCAAAACTATAATATTTGGCAGCTTAAAACATACCAGCTTTTAGCACTTTTTATGTCAGCTTGCGTATACCAGTTAATAAATAAGCAAGGTCCACGTTTTCTTTCTAATTCTTTCAAAGGGTATACTTTTTCGAACTTTTGACGATATTGCATACAAGCGGAACTTAAAGAACAACAAAGTATTGTGATTGTTCTTATTGATGATTACAGTATTATCAATACCACAATATTTCTACTTTATGTTCATATAAGGAAAAAATATTATTCGAAGGTATTTCTACCACATGTAAAACTGTTACGCTTCCTGGCGGTTAAAGTTACATTTATTAATTAAACCCATTTATTTTTTATTCGGAAATGCAGAAGTTGAAACTGATAGCATGTGTTTGTTTGTTTTTTACGAAGGAACTATTAGAACAGAATCATTAGTTTGTTTAAGCGAGTTAAAAACAATAAACAACGTTATCGGTTTCTTCTCTGTAATTGGTTTTGGTGTCTTTTTCCCTATAGGTGATTTGGAGACTCTATATTTTGTAACCAGCGATTTCAGAAAGAACACTAGAATATTCTTTTCACTAGCAAAAAGCAATAATGAAATGCATGTGGATGATTCCGAATATTTGAAAATGTTTATTTACAAGAATTATATAAAAAAAACGCGGCTGGAAAAAATATAGTTATATCTTCTTTTGTACAGCAATGACTATCAAAGTCACCTATAGATGTATTTGCAGCTATATGACAACAAACTCTTTATAAATCATTTTAGCATGATACAAATAAAACATTAAACAGCACTTGAACCAGCAAGGCGAACATAAAGTCAGCATACTTTAAATAACTTGTTTTTCCAGAGGAATGAATTGAAGATTTGGTCCCCTCTCGTGTCTTAATTTGTAAAATATCTTCTTAAGAGCAAAAGTTTTTCTCACATTTCTTTTCTTTTTGAAGCCCATTTTAGACATGTCCAACCGTCGAATCAAGAGGCTGTAGTTCCACACAATCGTGATGTATTCAAAACTTCTTTCAGTTCATTTTCTGGTTTTCCAGCAACCATGAAGGGCCATGTCTAAAAAATAATAATATTAATGAAATACAAAACAAACTGCAACATTGTTTCCGTTTTTATACGTTTTCTTTTTGCACTTCAACTACACCAAAGTGAATTCAGTATATCGTAAGCTACAATGTGGCAACGGTGTTACCCACCACATACAGAAATACAAAAAAAAAGAATACTTAGTGACAAGATTTAGATTAGTGAAATGTATTTTTTTTCATAGTGTTTTAAAGATAATGCAGGCTACTGCGTTACAGAACCGGGAAGGATGTCCATCTTTGATTATGATCTGCGGCACTATATGGATACAGAATAGCATAGACATGTACAGTATGTTTTGCGAGCTCTAAACAGTTACGCTACTTCAGCATGACATTTTTAAATAGTTTTTATTTGGCCTTCGCCTGCGTGGTAGGGAGCAAGTCAGTGCAAATGTTTTCTCAAGAACCGACAATCCTCGGAGCAGTTAAAAACCGAGAAAGAAAAATGGTATGAGTGGATTGCTTGAAAAAGAAGGAAACATCTATTCTCATTACTCCTTTTACATAAATGAGAGTTGGGTATAGACAACGAAATTTCAACAACAAAAGAGAACCACGGTTTTTGACTAGATTTTAGAGATCCAGCGCAAACACAATTTCTTAAGATTTTCAATCTAAATGAAATACAGCATGTAGAATTACATTTTATGTGCTTTCAGTGAAAGCTTAAGGTAGCTCCTACTTACCAAATTGACTGGGTGTATGTACCCATTGTCATACTTATCGTTGGCCAGGATTTGTCTCAAGTGGGCTATATAGCTTGATGCCAGTCTCAGGGTGTCCAGTTTTGATAGCTTGGTGTCCGGCGGTACCCACGGTAAAGTAGTCTTCAGCCTGGAAAAGGCTTTACTCAAAACGCGCATCCTGGCCCTCTCCCTGGCGTTGGCAGCGTTTCTCTGAACCTGTTTACCCTCATGCGCCACTCCATTCAAAGAAATTTTCCTGGACGATGCTTTTCGCTTTTTTCCTGAAGCGCCCCTAGCCTTTGTAAGCGAACCACTCTCACAGTTTGAGCTCTCCTCTGTACTTTCGTTAGAGGTGCCTGAGTCTTTGCCAGACCCCAGTTTGAGGATGTCACACTCGGCCAGATCTGTTTCATGAAGATCGTCAACGTCACTGATGGATCCCGTGGACATTTTCACAGCAAAGCTGTCCTAACTAGCTGCACGGTAAATCAGTGTTGCTCAAAGGACGAAGGATGGTAAACCGGTTTTGCTCTGGAAACCATTCATGAGCAGTGTTTAAAATAAGGCTCTGGAAACCTCTTTTTGCGAACTGTCAATTTATCTCAGATGTGCAGGGGCGTGACTACTAGTGAGGGGGTGGGTGCCAAACATACAGTATGTATTTCTCAGGACAGATAGGCTGCCTGTTGCACGAAGTTGCACGAAAGAAAACAACAACAGAGAAACAATGCTAATTTGAAATTGTAAGTAAATAATGGGTTATTAAGCAACACGTGTTTGAAAATAACAGATCTCAACAGGGCCCCAAGGCACTGGAATCGAACTTGTAGGAACGAAAATACTGTTATTTCTTTATAAACATGCATACTGTAAGGCTTTTCTGAATATCCCAGATACAATTCAGAAAACGATTACAATGAAATTCATAACACTTTTAATATGGCTTCCTCTGTAAAAAAAAAGAATGACATTTTTTTTGTTATTAAGAGAATAGCAATAAGATATGTAAAATGACGTAAATGTTATTAAAAAATCAAAAAGCTTACGAAAAGACTAAATTCATGCATGGATATAATAAACGATAACGATAACTGATCGATCAGTTCACCCAGAAAAAAATATTTCTGTTTTGTTTTTAAATTCATTTTTTGGATGAAAAAATATGATTAAATGAAATGATTAATGCAAGTAAATGGTTACGACATTTAAAAAAATAATCAAATTTTATTGTTTGTTTTTATCGTATTTTCTATAATAAACAATGTTCCATGCATTAAGTAACTAATTTTTAGCTTTTTCTAATTATGTATTTCCTTCTTCTAACTGATATGGATTATTTACTGTATATACAGTATTTGTTTTAAAATATTGAGCTCACATCAAGTATGTGAAGTTAACGGTGCTGCAGTAACTGAACATAACCTAGTATCCAAGTCCGCTGCGTTTCACAGATTGCAAACTGCAAAAATGTCGGCATGAAACCTATTAAAGAGATGTAATAATAATAAGTTGCTCCTAGAAATACTCTTAAATATACTCTTACCTCCTGCAGTGAGTGCACTTAAGTGACCAAGTATCAAGGTACTTTTTTGCTTGGGATGGTTTTGCCTTACAGAGCTTGAAACACCTGTTCATGGTAGATTCGTATTTTTTTGTCTTTCTTTAGCCTAAAATATGTTTTAGTTCTTCCGACAGTAGGATCAGAATATTGGGAGGAATTTCAGGAATCTTTGCATGCGTACTGTTAACAACACATAAATAAAGAAGATAGCAATGGGATATGTCTCAAAACAGCAGGGCGACGTACTTCTCTATAGAGCATGGTTTTATTGGAGCTCCTAAGAAAAAAAAAAGACGTCTGGAATTGCAGACCTACAGTATCTAGTGAGGTGTTTTATCTAACACAGGCTTAGGATACTTATTGAAGCTCATGTATGTTAAGATATTTAACCTGATTAGAAAAAATACATAGGCATTACATATAGTTTACAACGTTTTTTTATTGTATCTGTTTTTGGGTTTGCATCGCTTTATTAATATAAATCCGCAATCTTTTCGTACTTGCTTCGCGCTGTCTTTAGACATTTGTTACATTCGTCGGGGTGGAGCATGTTGATAATTGTATATATGGAGCAGGAAAGCGGGTACTTGCGGTAAAAAGATACATTTTCTTGCCGAAGACTAAAATCGGCTCTCCCATGTAAAGTTTTTGTTTTCATTTTAGTGTATCACAACCCCTTCTCCATTGTCATACTACCGCAGCTATTAATGGACCACTTTATCCTCGTCTCTGTACGGACGGCTCAAGTCTCAGGGAGGCGATCCACAAATCTAAAACGTAAAGCTGCTGGCAAGGCCGTGTTTCTGGCCTTTCTTCATACAAAATGACAATCAACATCATAACATACAAGCTTTTAATTTTATTTTTTTGTTATTATAGTAAGATATGTTTGACTTCTATTGCAATCAAGTTGTATGTGCTTGTGTAAATAGATGTAGATATACAGCAGAAATTACCTATTCTGATACAGAGTGGAGTCAGTTTGTTTACATATAGCGGACCGCACTGAAAGCCATCTTCAGCAAAGAGTAGTGTACACTCAAAAACATACTGTATATTCCAGACTTTTCACTTTGTCTGGGTTTCACGAAAAACAGCATTTTTCCATACAAATTAAAATGTTTTGTCTTACTGTTTGAGTTGTTGAGTGTTGTGTCGTTCCTGATTCTGTCGCTCTCAGCACCTGTATAGGTATATTCTCGTTTGCGAATTGCATTGTATTCGGGCAGATTTAAAGTGCTCTCCAAATCTTCATTTAGGCAGATTCCCGTTTTCTGCAACAAAATTCATAAATCAGCCCTGATTGATACATGAGTGACTCATAATGATAATCTGTGCATAAGTGGCCATTCACTTTAACAGTTCTCAGAAATTTAAGTTCACAGAGTTTATTCAATCTTTGGATAGAATTCGTTTTGTTCACAAAGATAATACCTTTTTCCCCAAGATTTAGCAAAGACCCGGCATTATAAATGGCAGTCCTGACACCCCACTGCCCACACGTCTTCAGATGATATCAGAACCCGGTGTAAACATATCATTACTGAAGAATTCTGCAGAGGTTACAAGCTTCATGAAGCAGCTCCTGAGACTTCCCACGACCATTCTCTAATGTCCTTCTCCTAAATCATTTATGCTTTTATGGACCTACAGTACTACCTCAGGTTTACTCTTACCTACAGATAAGGTGGTGATTCGAAGAGCTCAAAATAACATCTCACCAGTATCGCAACATGTTGAGTGTTTAATCCTGATTCTTATCATTTATTTCTTGTAATGCACATTAACAAGACTAATTCAAACTTATATACATTTTTATGATTATGATTATGATTATGATTATGATTATGATTATGATTATGATTATGATTAGTAGTAGTATTAGTAGATGTAGACTTAATGTTGTTAATTTTATGCCGTTGTTGAACTGGGGTGTTTATTTTTTAGTTTTAGGGTGATCGCATTACAGTTGAAGAACTGCGTAACCTGCTAACTAGGTTCGTGTTTCTATAAAGACAACGTGATGTAGGCTACACCTGCCGGGGTCTACCGCCTTCTATTAAAACCTGAACGGTAGATCTGTGGAGACAACATCTCGATCAACCAACCGGTTAACAAGTTTAAAAAAAATATTTGACACCTGTAAAAGACCACGTCATTTTGTTTTTTATTTTTGCGGCCTTATAAGTGAGTCACATACATGCTCATCTGAGTTGAAACGGTCCCGTCTTGAGAGTTAAGGGATCCCCAACTTTCAGCACAAATCCTTCCCTACGGGGACCTTGCGAAGGAGTTCTCAAATACCCTCTGGCGCCTACGGAAATTCAAGTGTAATAGATACTCAGGATCCCAAAACCAGGATTTTGTTTCTAATGTCATTTCCCATTGCTGCCCCACTAACCTACTCTTTGCAAAGCCAAAACATCAGGACTTACGGGGATCCCTAAGTGCAGAACTATAGGGATTTACGGAGTAGTTTAATTTAACTGTTGAAAGCTACGTCTCATACTGAGGTTGAGCTGTGCTGTGAAAAAGTTCATACCGCTAAATAAACGAAAAATAGTCAATTCTGACCTCTAGCACGTCGGTTTATGTAACATTTCCGAAACAAAATCTAAAATAAGACATTAGTCCACTAAAGGTCACTGGGTAATATGAGCTATAAAGTTGTTACCAAAGCAACATTTTATTTAAATATGAGCAACCTGACAAACCCATCACAATTACAATTACAATTAAATATCACAATTAAAAATAATGATCTGATTACCACGATGCGTGACTTTATTAGTGTTAGTTTCTTTATCGAACTGTTAAAACGAAACGTAACTAAATAAAAAGTGAAGATATACCTACTTATTAAGAGCGAAAAAGTTAACAAAAAACTAAAGGGAAACAACAGCCTATATAACCATACTATTCTAACTGATGTGAAAACGATTACATATATTACATATGGCATTATTTTCTTAATTTTGTTTCAACAGGCGCTTTAATAACAGTATTCCAAACTTTTAAAAATACATCCAGGGGTTTGTCTAGATTCTAATCTGTGAAAGTATTTTCCTACATTTAAATGGAAGGTGTTTGTGTAGGATGAAATGCAAAACATAAACAAACACCAAACTGGTACTGTAAGTTAAAATTGTGCTTAATTTGCAGTGCAATAATGTAAATAAAAAAAAACTGGTTCCAAAACACATGTGTAACATCTCATCATTAATTAGAATTTGAGAATTTGGCCATATTTATATATTTAGTATATTTATAACAAATACACATGGGCTCACAATACATTTTTGTATGTAATCAGTTATTATCCTTCTATTAAGATTAAAATTAGACATTACATTAAGACAGAAAAGATTACTGTAATGTAAATTAATCTGTTCCTCCCAATTAATCAGTTAATGATTTAGAGGGTGTTAGAGCATGACAGCGTTGATTTAATCATAGCTTTTGTTATCCTACAAGTAAATCACACTGATAGCCCCAACAGTTCAACAGTTTGTCTAAAGATCTGTGCTGACAAGCATGAAAATAAGAAAACCTCCCATTTGTCCTGTGTATATAACTTTTAACTGTGCACAAATATATTCTTTAATGATGTTGTTATCTTTCAATCTACATAAAAACTTATATACATAACAAAACATCTGCATTTGTGTCCAGTCTGTTATCTACCACTTGTATGAGCTTGTCAGTTTAGAAGTAATATGACCTAATATAGAGGGAATATCTTATTGTCTTACATAGCCTATAATCTTACATTTATTAAATCTTTTTAATTAATTTAATAACTCACACAAAATACACATAAACATTTACAATACTTTACAATACTACCAATACTTTGTTGCTGTAATAGAGAGTAACCTATATGTATATGATTTACTGTAATAAATGCATGGAGAAATGAAATTGTACATTTCATATAAATGTTTTAATGTTTACAATATATTGAGCTAGTGATTTTGTTGGCATTTCTAGTGTATCTTTGGCAA